GAATTCCTGTATCAGACTTACTTCAAGGGTAAAGTGTCAACTGGCATTTACTTGGTTGTATTCCGGGAAGTGGGCTGATTTTCATTTAGATTTTCTAAAATTCTGTAGAACTGTTAATAAAATCAACTATGGCACATGTAAAAGATGAAGCTCATCAGGCTTAACCAGATGACTCCACTTGAGTACATTGGTTACTTTAGCCTGTTTGCGATAGCATAGAAATAGTAGTTCTTGTTACCTGTTGGTTTAAAAAGAAGATTTCAACGTAGGAGAATATCAACTTTTAAATAGTTAGTAAATGTGTACGTAGTCTACTTCCATGATATCTTTATTGGCGAGTGATTTACGGTTGCATCATGACAGTCACCCAAATATAGTGTGTGTCCATTAAAATGGTGCATCTAGCTGGGTGTTTCTCTGATGAAAAAATGAAATCACTACTATAGTTACTAACTGTTCTGATAGATTTAGCAGTTTTCATTCACTTTGTAGGGGTTCATATTAATGAAAGCTTCTCAGTCTATTAGAAGGGTTATTAACTATAGTAGTGATTTCATTTTTTCATCAGAAAAACACCCAGTTAGATGCACCATTTTAATGAACGCCAACTATTAAGCAAAGGTTATTTTCTGTGGAACTTAGTCATATTATATCACTTAATCTCACTCGGTTGGATTACACCATCTGTGAGTTTTCTCTTTCAGTGTCTAGGATCAGCAAAATCTGCAAGGAAGTTGCCAAACATCCATTTTTCACTGGCCCGAATTAGTGTAAATATTTAGCATTTGTAACGGCTTGATAGCCAGTCTCAAAAGGAACCAATTTTTTAAAACCAATTAGCAGATAATATCATTGTGTGATAACTGAGTGGTGCAAAAATCTTAGTATATCACAGGATTCTAATCAGTGACCACAGGCCCGCTAGTTTGAATCCTTTAGTCATCATATATAAGCTTAAAAGCCTCAGTATGCACTAGGTTTTGAGAATACTAAACATGCTTTGTTACGACTTATGGACCCCTCTATTCACTTGAGTTTTCTTATAAGAACACCTATATTTTGTGCTAAATTCGAAATGTCGAGCATCATCATTTCTCTGTTTTAAAAATACTAAGCATTTGTGAATTCAAACAAAAAAGGCTTCGGAGGTGATCATGTGACCTGGTACATGACTGCTGATGGCATTATACTTCTAAAGGATAACAGCAAAGCGTGAATCTTCACAAAACTAATTCTGCAAACAAACTTCATTTTTCTAACGTGTCTAATTTTTCTGTATGTGAATCTGGAGGCATTTTATCACTATGGATGAAAACAATATACGCAGCTATAGGAATAGCACAAAACTTCAGATTCATCACTATTTTATTTCCTACTAGCATGCTTTTAACTTGTAAAAACTTGTTGTAGAATATACAGAGTGGAGCCGGTTGTTATTTATTTCCCAGCGAAACATTAACCAGTCGGTGCAGGTTGACAGTTCTACGGCTGTTATCTAAAGCTTTTCTTACGTTTTCTAGCAGATCATATCCGGGTGAAACTGAACAACTAGATTAATATCGCAGGTTTTCAGTGACGACCACTTCGTTAAAAGCAGTTCTAATGTCGGCGTTGCTGATAACTAGACGAATTAATATACGCAGTAGACAGAAAACACAACTAAGATGATTCAAAACCATCCACGTTCGGTAAGCTGCGAGACGACCATATTAGTGCTCGAAAGCATACTTATATTTTTAAATTATGCTACAGTTTTGTCCAGTGTATCTGCTGGAGTGTACTGGCGTTTACCTTATTCAATTGCAGAAAAGTTTCGTTCAAAATAATTATATATAATTGCGGTTGAACAGCTAAGTGAATGAATTCCCCGAATAAAGACTCCTCGCTGAAATGTTTTGTTTTCATTGATGTCTGGATGGAAACTACTCATGAACTAGCATATTTCACAATAATGAAATAAAATGTTTGACAACTACTCAGCTATATGACATAAAAGTGTGTAGTAAAAGACTATTATATTTTAGTAGGTTGAGTAGTCCATAGAAAGTAAAGGTTGAAGGCTAGTGTTTTCTGTATACATGATTTGGGATGCATATGATTAATCCAAAGTACCTCCATTGACTTTAATAACCTTGAATTAAAGTTATGCAAAGTAACTGAGAAGCAGTCGCTAACACTGTTTTTGTGACTAGGCATCAGTAAATGCTTTGAAATGCATGATACTGGACTTCTATTTAGGTTAAGTACATTTAGATTTCCTATGTGAACTAATAACCATCATAACAAACGTTAGTAAAGAAACTAGGAAATGATATCATATTGAAATATTTGTCTTTATGACGTCTTATTTGAACCCATTCTTTAGATTTGATAGTACCAGTAAAAGCAGCAAGTGGTGAATAGACATAGGCGAGGGAAGGGTGATTGAATAGTGGTGATAAAAATAGGTGAATAATTAGGGAATATAGTGAAATTGGTAGATTAAATGGCTATATTTCACTTAGCGGTTACATAAAAAGGGTAATCCACGTAAAAGTAGTAGGAAAAACGTAGAAAACTACCGATAAGCAATCGGTAGCTGACGGGTTGCAATTTTGATAGGAACTAGTGTGGAAATATGTTTTCAGTGCTAACATTTGCCGATCCATTTGGTGAATTTGTGGTTATATCATCTCGCAGGAGTATCACCAGAAGAATTTATCGATATTTAACGTTATTCCAGCAAGATCAGGGTAAATTATTTACTACAGATGCTAAAGCTAGCATGCGACATTTATAATTCAAAGATTTTACTCTGTAAAGTGGTGGTTTGTAGTAAATGTGAGCACAAGAAAAGTATGCAGGTGAAACTGACGGGCTCAAAAGCCGTGAGGAAGTGAGATATCTAAATATACATTGGACCTGTCTAAAGAAAAAACATATCATAGCTGGTTCTTTACACCCTTACTTCAATCCAGGCCTTGAAACTTCGAATCGTGAAGTTCGATTGTCTTCTGAGTCACTATCAGCTACGTCACACACTCAAGCTTGACTGAAATTAGTACACAGATATTTCGTAAACTACTGTCATCACTTTCACCTTTTTACCTGAACATATGCAAGAAATATTTCTTAACAACAAAATTTACTGAAGATTCATTATCTTACCAAAACGAATACATTTCTTATCACATCTTGTTCATTTGACCTCAGAATCGACTATACTGTGACGTTATCATCACGCGGATGAGATGAGGCAGTATCTGTGACAGTCGTACACCTGAAATCATCTCAGATATTTCTGCAATCTTTAACAATAAAACTTCATTGTACTTCATTGAGTGCCTTCGTCATCAAATCCTACCAAAAATGTAAGATGCAAACTTCATTGTATCAAGACCTACTGGCAAGAAGTTTGATGTGGGATGAATGCAGAAATTTCAAACCACCTAATGAGCTGTTTCAGTTGGAACAATTCTTTCTTGAACTCATTCCATATCATAAAAGTCGATTCGACAGAAATAGACTAGGCGGTGACCGTTATCGTATAATTTGCCCACAACAGGTGAAATCACACCTTCCGTTAACAGTCAAAGGCCAACCAACAGTCTGTCTGAGACTTCCTATACATACTACGAAGATGGCTCGGGAAACATTTGCAAACGAAATACGCAATGTCTTTCGCTACTTATTTCCATCATTAATCGTCAGGCGTTCTAATTAAGGATTCAACTCTCCACAAATAATCTCTGAGTAACAGGATACCTACGACGAGACAGAAATAGAGGTATGCCGCGAAGTTAAATTCACTCGATCACAGACGACAGAAAAATAGAAGTTTGACAATGTGGTGGAGAGGAACCATGCAGTGTCTACTGAGACTTGAAAAAACAGACCTAATTCAATCAGTCTTTTCGGTTCTTCCTTATCCTAAGGTGCAAAACGACGAACAATGCCCCCTAATAAACCTCCTGCAAATCGCCACCCGAGTGAATGGATTTGGACCTCTGGCTAATCGGAAGCATTCTGCCAGCTATGCACAGCAATTCGCGATGTTAAATATCCCGACGAGTTGAAATTATAGCCCACTAGATCGTGAATGTGCAATCCGTTTGTAAAATACGCATAGAAAATTCTAGATCAGCCAACAACTTGACCCAAATCAGTCACGACTTCGAAGTTACGGTGAAGACAAGATGATTAAAAAGATTAAAGCTCTCCGAGACTCTCCTACAGAGGGCTATATTTAGAACATTCTATAAATCTTCGGGTAGAAATGATTAATTAATAGTCAGAATATTCCTTCCGCTTCCGACCGATCTCAAATAAAATCAAAAACACACATTGGACCGTGGGTACTCTGGGAAAACGCAGGCAGTCAAACTTCTACGCATAGCCATCAAGAGGGTCCAGTAAAGTGAGGACAAAGACTTGCCTGCCTGATGTACCAGTGCATGTATTAGTAGGTATTACTAACCACTATGTAAGTGAACCTAATCATTCGATCACCCACAAAGAAAACGTAGATTTGTTCACCGAAGAAGTGTTTACCTTTATTCATGAACAAACGTACGCACCTAGTCATCTGAAGAGCTGGAAAGACCCACTGATAGCAAGGAGACTTAGCGGGTCTCTTCTTTATTCTGTTCAATTGCCAGAAATAAACACGAAAGCTAAATTCAAGTGCATAAGAAACAACAGGATCATAGTATTATCCTAATACAAGGCACATTGTGAGGAACAACGCAGAATAAGTTCTATCAGCATGAAGCCGCGAGAGCGCTGTGGTAAATATGGAGTTCTGTTTCCTATACTCCATCCAACGAAGCTGACATTATTTGTTTACAGAATATGTTGACAGACTAAAATGTGATACCTGAAACGTGTTCTAAAACAGCTACTTAATATATAGTGCACCCTGAAGCCGAGGATTTTTGTTAAATCAAGCCAGAATGTCAGTCAATGAATATGAAATGCCTTCGTATAACGAGTGCCGGTTCGAGAAACTGTATTTATATACCCCGAGAAATACTCCCACAGGGAGCACTGAAACCACTCCTTCAAAGGCCACGTTCATTATTCAAATGTTGAGATGTACCAAGCACAAGCTATATTGTTATTAATCGTGGATAATGCTAAACAGAAAAATAAGCCATATCTTTTGACGGTTTTTTACGGCTATTTGTCTTCATACTTCTTTTTTCTGGTGGATTCTCATTTGAGTCACGCTTCTGTGGACTTTTTTGATGTTTATTATCCACGCCTTCAGCTGAGGGAGTAGAAACGTCTTTTAATTCAGATTTACCCTTTAGGGAGCTGCAGGTCATTACAAACATCTTATCAGCTTACCGTTTGCAGCGAAACCGTTTGTTAGTGTCCCTACACGCCTTAATTATTCCTTTTTTCACTTCTTCCTTTATATGGTAATCGTTTGAGTTTTTGTACAGAAAATAGAGGTCTTGACTCATGTATTCTGAGCCTCTGGCTAAACGTGGACATGGATTATCTCCAACTCTCTTGAGTCCATTTAAACTCAATGGGACGTGTTTGGTATCGATATTCCGAGTTGGATGACGTCTACATGAATAATAATTCATACGGTTCATGTTAACGGATAATTATTTTGAAAAAAGCACCACTTAGTTAGCCAATGTACAATATCCAATATCCAATATCCTGATTACGAGCTAGTATAAACCAGTGATTTCTTTGAGCTCGCTTCTTGATTGTGAGGTAGAGGTTCCAGATCTTCGGTGAGCTACTGCGTAGTAAGTCCCGCCACTAGACTGCTTTAGCTCTGGTAGACTCCAGGAGGAGTGGTGCGGGGATTGGTCGAGATGTGGTTTGTAGTATGCAGTATGTTAGGACTGTATTGCTGCCGTGAATGGAGTTTGACCTAACTCCCGTTGGTCATTCGGTGTAGTCATAAAAGCAGAATAGTAGTAATAATAATAAGAATAAAAATAATAGGTTTAGTGTAGATAATATAGGTTGAGATAAGTGGAATAATAAAGGTGACCTAAGGAAAAGATAGGGTGACAGAAGGCAGAATAGGCCGTGGGGATTTAGTTTGTATGCTTATCCATTGACAGTGTGGTTTCAAGTTTTATGAGGATAAGCCATTGAGACATGATTGTCTAGCTTCCGCTTAAAAATCTCCAGAGATGGCGCTGTAGTCACGGCCGCCGGTAAAGCGTTCCAGAGACGGCAAACACGAAGCGAAAAGAAATGTGATCGCACTCGAGTCTTTGGTCTCTGGTGTGCTATCCTTAGCGGGTTACCTCGTGGAAGCCTATAGTCACTTAATGGCAGGATGCTTTTATTTGGGTGGGCCTGGTCATTTAAGATCTGGTAGACGGTGATGAGGTCTCCCCTGTGCCTACGGTAACTAAGTGTGAAAAGACCCAGTTTGTTTAGTCTTTCCTCATATGATTTGTTGCGGAGGCCGATCACCCATTTTGTCGCTCGTCTCTGGACACTTTCTAGAATGTTAGCATCCCTTTTGAGTAGCGGAGGTGCAATGATATTATGCACCTCAAGGTGTGGCCTCACATATGCCTTGTATAGCCTTAAGAACAGTTCGGAAGTGAGAGCTCCCAGCTGCCTGTGCATAAAGTGTAATGCTGCGTAGGCTTTGGCGACGTCCCTCGAGTAATTTCCGCTGGTGTCTAGCTTTTCTGTTAGAATAAGACCTAGATCACGCTCTGATGGAACACAACTCAAGTTCTGGCCACCGAGGGTGTAATTTACACTCTGTGACCTGCCGGAATGAAGCTGCACTACTTTGCACTTCTTTAGATTGAAAGGCATTCCGTTAGCCAGAGCCCAATTTCCCAGAGTTTGCAGGTCAGCCTGCAATCTATCTGAGTCTTCCGATGAGTTTATTGCTCTCCAAATCTTTACGTCGTCAGCGTAAAGAAGCGCAGAGCAGTTCAGTTGGGAGGGCAGGTCATTGATAAAAATCAAAAACATCAACGGCCCTAGGATAGAAACCTGAGGAACCTCTGATGCCGAGGTGTGCCAGGATGATCGGATGCGGTTGACTTTGGTGCAGAATTCTCTCTCGCCTAAGTAATCTTTCAGCCATGCGAGAAGTGCTCCAGAAACTCCCGCCTTGCTTATTTTGTGAAGGAGCAGACCATGGTGAACTGTGTCTAATGCTTTCGCAAAGTCGAGAAAGATCACGTGTGCTGGTACCTTCTTGTCCCAGGATAGTGTCCAATCGTTCCAGGCTAGTAGAAGATTCGTCACGCAGGATCTTTTCCTCCTAAAAATGTGCTGTGCTGTGGTCGTCAATGATACTTTCCAATATCTTCGATACCACTGGAAGTAGAGCAACTGGTCTGTAACTGGTCACATTCTGCCGGTCACCACCCTTGAAGATAGGGGATAGGATTGCACGTTTCCATTCACATGGAAGTTTCCCTACATCAAGGGAGTGTTGGAACAGATCACTTAGGGGTTGACAGAGACTTTCTGAACACTGCTTCAGGACAGATGGTCTGATGTCATCACAACCTGGAGACTTTCCCGAAGCCAACCTTCCCAATTTTGCAAGTACCATAGCCGGGGTAATTTGAAATGTACCCAGCAGGTTTTCGTGTGTTGGTTTTGCGATGTAATCTGGATGTTCTGTGGGGTAATATCCTCGTTACTGTTTAGTTGCCTGTGAAAGGCTAGGCTGAATGTCTCTGCCATTTCAAGACTAGTAAGAGATTTCCCATCAGAACCCACTAGATTGCATGCTCCCTGGTTGGTCGGTTTTCTTTCGGCCATAAACCTGTATAGGCTTTTGGGGTTCACGAGAAGCTTATTGGCGAGGTCTCCCTGAAATGTCCTTCTATCGCTCCGGACTCGTATGTTACATCGATTCCTGAGTTCAAGGTACACTTCATATTCGGGTTGACTCTTCGATCGTCGCCACGCGAACCAGGCTTTTCGCTTTGCCTGCAGAAGGCGTTGTGTCCCCCTTTTAGCCATGATCGTTGCTTCCTAGCTTTTGGTGAGACTAAAGGAACAGTGTCTGAGACCGCCTGGTGAATGATTCCTTTACCACTCTCCAGTGTTCTTCAACTGTTAGCTCTGTCCATTTTTTAGGCCAGTTTGCTTCAGACAGAAGTCTTCGCATTTTGGTGTAGTTGGCTTTGTTATAACACAGATAGGGCTGTGTATTGTCCCACTGTAAGCGCTCGCGGAGGACTATGTCGAATACTATGACCGCGTGGTCACTACTACCTATGGGAGTCGTGATCTGAACGTTTTCCACTAGTAGCTGGTCACTAGTGAGCACGTAATCCAGTCTAGAAGACTTCCCATCAGGGCCCCATCTAGTATCCATCTTGACATTTTCAGTGAATCCAGCCTTCCTGATGGTATGCAGCAGATTTCGATCAAATCTATCATGGGCTTTTCCCGACACCAAGTTAAGAGATGGGGCATTGAAGTCACCAGCTATGACAATTTGATCATAACCCATGTCTTGAGTTGCTGAGATTGTATTTAGCAGTACCTGGTTGTGGTCTGCTCCACATGAAGGTGATCGATAAATGCTGCCCACTAGATATTTGCAGTACCCAACGGTGAAGTGGCACCATATGGAGTCAGGGAGCTCTGTGAGGGGAGGGTCCATCGCGTGAACACATCTGAGCTGTTTGTCGACGTATATGGCGACTCCACCTCCTTCTTTCAGGTCCCTATCTCGCCTGACTAGGACCATATCATTTATACTGACTTCGCTGTCTGCCACCGTAGGGGTTAGCCAGGTTTCCGTCAGTATTATGATTTTGGAGTTTAGTTGTGATTGTAGGTGTCTAAGTTCAGCTATTTTGCCTCTTAGCCCTCTCACATTACTGTACAGGCAACTGGTAGTCAGTCTCACCACTTCCCCGTATTGGGGGGTAGTTGACTTGATATTGGCTATCGGTTGAGGAGTTATCCTACGAACTAGTTGGCCGATTCCCCAGGAACCGGCCTGTTGGCGTTTTTTCTTCTAGTTCAGTTGGAGCACTCGGATGACACTGGCTATCATCGTCCGTGCTGCACCGCTGTAGTGTGACTAGGGGTTGAGGATTTTCTTTTACTACGCTTTGTTCTCTCCTTTGAGTGCGAGGCCGGCTCTCGCAGCAGCGAATGTGTTTGCTGACCTTGTCCTTGGTCTCGTACCATCTATGGAGAGCGGTATTCAACTGGTCTTGGGAGCTGAACTTGACAGCTAACAGACGTGGCGAGTTAATTGACATAAGATGAGTGGGTCGAGGCAGTCTATAAATAGAGACAGCCCCTGAACTTCCCAGGGCCATCTGGGATGCTAACCATCTCCATTGTTGTACATCATGACAATGCTTTTCGCAGGCGTTCCCAGTTACCAGTTCGGGAATGCCATGCACAACCATGGAGGCAGAAGGAATGAGCTCTGGCGACTCCCTCGCCATTTGTCTTTCCTTCCACGGCCTGTCTGGCTTAACACGTATGTTACAGGCCCTCCCTATAGAAAGGACTTGAGAAGCCAGTAACACTTTTTCAACATCCTCGGTAGAGCCCAATGTTACCCTCAGTGGGGATGGTTTGCCTTCAGGTGCAGCAGTGCCCCTATACAATCTGCATAGATTTACTGGTTGGATGTCCAAACCCAGTGTGCTACTCAAAAGGGACCACTGTTCCTGATCAAATAGGGCCCTTGTCAATGGAGTTGAAGATCGAACGATCAATTCATGGTTGTTTGCTCAAAATCAACTTCCTCGATTTTCGCGGAGGCATCAATACAACAGTCATCGTCCCATCGGTCGCTGTTCAGAAAGAAGAGTGAAACATCGTCAGAAGTAATACAGAGATTTATTATTGTAATATTTGTTTTCAGACCTTAATTTGCTTAGTTCGCTTATTCCTTTTATATGTTGGTGTAACAATACAGAAATATCAAACGGCAGATCAGTGTTTTGGTTTTTGCGTCCGTTATAACTAAGCGTTTCTGAGAAATCTTCTAAGAACAGTGTGGGCTCGAGCGTAGTGAGAGCTGGGCATTAACGGTTTATGAGAGGTAGCTGACAGTTTCTGACGATGGAAACAGATCTGGCGGATTGAAACAGTTGGTGAAAGTTTGGATAGTCGCCGTTCATTTTTCCTGGTGCCGGTCAAGGCCTCTTTGAACAAGCAATATCTGGAACTTTTTTGGAATTTGGTCAAGTTCAACAATGCCTGGGTCAAAGAAGGGACAGAGTGTCTTGGATGCAAACAGGAAAGTAAGTCATGGTGACTTGTCTGTTAATTGTAACGATGTGTCTGATGTTAAGCATGATATGGTTGATGTTACTGTTTCGCCGTTCAGGGATGATAGGTACATCAAACTCCCTAAATTAGAACCACGGTGTTTTGATGGAAACCCGCCCGATTATTTACAATTTGTAAAGGAGTTTGAGATCATGCTGAGTAGTTTTCTATTAACTGATGAAATGAAGTTAATGTATTTGATGAGATATTGCACTGGAGATGCTGCAAGAGCTATACAGTGCTGTACGTTTATGAAGCCAAAAGAGGGCTACTACGAGGCTACGAGCATATTACGTCAAAGGTTTGGAAGAACTACGATGATTGCAGGGAAATTATTTGAAGCTGTTAATGGTAATGGTGGTCAATTACAGGATGACTCTCAGGCACTCACTGAGTTTTTAGATAATTTGCTA